TGTTGTACTAATTTGTAAACGATAAGATGAAATAAAACTATTACATGTTAATCAATTGTAATCTCTTAGTATTTGTTAATTGCTTTTAATCAGACACATCAAAAATCAGTACTCTGTTCAAGACTTGAACAAAGAGCTATCTGAATTTTTCATAATTTTCGAACAAGAATATCCTGCAGAAAGTGGAGAGTTTGTACAAAAAATTAGATTTGTACATTAGTAATCAAAAATAATTGTGAATTTCTTAAGAATAGTTTTCTCTGAGTAATAAAGGAAGTAATTTTTCACTTTTCTCTTCCTATATACATATGCTTGTTTGCTTTTTACTTTTCAATTTATATAAAAGTAATTTCTGCGTGAAATTTGTATACTCCATATTTTTTTTTCATATGAATCATTGCCATTTAGCATGAAAACAGATCAATAAAATAGTTACACTAAAATATTGACCGTCTACGGACAAGGTGTTTCGATGTATTTTATGCAAGCATGTGTGTATCTAAATTAGTATTTCAATTTTATATGTAAATTATAATTGAAACTCTACATACAAACTATTGCTAGAAAGTCTTTCAAACAGTCCTATAAATATTGTAAATTGTCGATGAAATTCGAAAGAAAAATAAATGTGAAAACCTCGGATTTAAATCCGAGTGTTATATGTACTTCAAAAAGTAAAAACATAGAAGCAATTTCCGTTTAAGTATCTTTGCAATAGGTGACTTAGCCTTCTTGTTTCTTAATGTTTTATATACTATTTTGTAGCTCGTGAAATTCTCTATCGAATGGTATATAATAGTTGGAGTTTTGTTTGATCATGAGAAGAAAAGTTTTTTATGAAAAGCGGGATAGATCAATGTTCGCATAGGAAATAATGACTCTTTTCCCGATAATTCAGCAATGGCTCGACGAATCATTCTCACCTTCGAAGTTGACCGCGATACTGATGAGACGAAACTGTGTAGAAAATTTCATCGCGATCGGACTCTCCTTTCGAAAGTTATTGTGTAAACGGTCGGATACACTGACCGATTCTATAGTGTACTCACTTTTTGAGTACACAAAAAAAGTGCTTTTGTGAATATTAAGTTTAAGTAGCTAAAGAGTAAATAAATTCGGTTTGTTATATTTTTGTTACGCTAGTTACATGGCGTCTATCAGTTATTTTGTAAATAATCGACAGACAAATATTCATTCTAGTCGAGAAACTCAAATCTAGTCTAATAGAATGTCAAACACTAAATATGTCAAAAGTTTACCACAAAAACTTTTCTTCTCAAAATTAGATCTATTTATTCTATCTTTAATTATAAAATCAGTTCATATCAATTGATTATGGATCTCTTATCAAATATTTTTACTAGAAAAAGTTCTATTATTTACTATATAAAATTCTTTTCTTCTTCACAAATAGAAAAAACAACTACACCTATTGATAACATTGCCATATTTCTTAAAATAGCTACTTGAAATATTTCGACATGATTTTCTAGTAGTCTCAATAAGTTCGAAACATCTTGAATGGCCTGCATGATCTCTAATATCGGTTTCTCGCGATTTTTTATATCTACATGGTAACATTTTGAACACCAAATGAAATAAAAAATAAGCAGACAATTTTGTTGCACTATGAATAAGACTGAAATAAGCTCTGGGAGAGAACAATCTGGTGGCAGGTCATCAGTTATAGGAGAAGCAGACACACGGAAGATTTCCCTCTTCTTCTGTTTACCTATTCCGGCACTCCATGGACGAAAGAATTTTTGAGTGAATTTTTGGACTTTTTGTCTAATTTTTAGTAGCTCCCTCTGCCCCAAACACTTAAAAATATCGATAATCTTGCTCTGGAAGATTCATCACTCTTGTAATCTACTCATGCTTTGTCTATTCTCTACGCGAATATGTTCGACAACTCTATTGTTTAGTAAGAAAAAAAGGTCTAATTTTACTATCAAAATTATGAGTTCTAACAAATATATTCTCGTCCACGTCGAGTTTTCGAAAGATGTGCATGCTGGTCCGTCCAGTCAATGTTGCCAGTTGTTTTTCTCTTTTATCTTTGTATTTGTAAAATGATTAGTTTTCTATCTGTATCATATTGCGCAGTAGAAACGAGACGAAAATCGACATGCATTCGAGGCACCAACTTGCTAAGGAGAAGCTTAAAAAAAAGACAAAGAATGTTCATAGATTGCCTGAGAACACATTCTGCCAACATCTATGAAAAAAAGCAGGGAACCATAATCAAGAAAAGCGAATCTGACAACAGCAAAGAAAGTTAAATCTTTATGTTCTAGCTTGTTGGTAAAACATTCTTTTACGTTTAATATTTTCAACACGCAGCAATCATACTATGAAATAAAATGGTTTAAACAGAAGCGAAAGTGAAGTTAATTGCACATGATGCGTAACCAATGACATAGGTAAAAGTAAAATGAGACGTTGTCTAATTATTTTTCTCTTCAAAATAAGCTACGATTCACTGATTGATTTTATCATCATGATATATTGAATGATCGTATTTTTTTTTTCTTTTTCACCTTGTATGCATTGCATAAGAATTGAACAGTCAATAAGGAACACATGAACACAAAATTTACGATAAACGAACATGGTCTTTTCTTCTTCAACTATTCATGCACAACACATAGAGAATATAATTAGAAATTTGACTTTAAAGCATGACATACTACTACACAAATAAGTGAAAGATGACGAGTATTCATATGAACATTAGGATTGTATAAGCGTATTGAATTTACAAAGTAATATTCTTTGATAAATGATTTTAATTTGAATACTATCTATTTAGTAATTTTATTCTGTTTTAAATTCGATTATTCCTATTGAATAAATTAAATATTTTCATATTTGGTACTTTTCGTAAAAAAATTAGACAAGAAATTTTCAGTGTAGGATAAAAAAAAGAAGGAAAATAAGTCATAATCAAGCAAATAACAATAAGTATATACTATTGCAGTGAGCATACTTCATCGGATACACGACTATTTTCGATCGTCAATATATAATATATTTCACTGTTCAAAAAAAAACTTTGGTACTCATAGTGTACGACCCGTATTGTAAAGGTTAACCTTGTTTTTACTATATACATTCAAGTATCGACAATGTGAATCTTGTTTTTTTTATATGTCATTTTGGCTCTTTTTTCATTGATGATACGTATCGAATAGAGGTGTATGAAGAGAAAAAATAATCGAGCTGTATCAAACTATTATATCACATCATTATTAGTTTTTGACAAACGCAATGTATACATAGGCAAAGTAAGACATTCACAGCAATAACAAGAAAAATGTTTGAATATTTGCTTTCTGTATGAATCAAATTGACTAGCTTTTTTTTTCTTAATAACCAAAGAGAAATTTATGACAATATTTATGAATAAAAAACAACAGAAAGAAATACTGTTTGAGGGTCTATACCGTTGGTTTTAAGAAAAATTTGTAATCTTATGATCTGTCAATTCTAAGATATTTGATTTTATCCAAATAGAAATATTGCTTTATGCTTTGGAAAAAAAAGTTAATATAATAATGCATAAAAAGTCATAAATTCGTCAGAATTTATTCTTGGAATATCACTTTTACTTAGATCTATCCAAAAGTATTGGCAGTGGTATTTTAAAAAAGCTTAAAGACACTTTCTCTATTTTAACTGATAGTAAAAATGATGCTCTATTCTTCTAGTGTAATCACATCATTCCTTCAGTAACATTATAATAATAAAATTTGGATGATACTTATTTTTTCGTCATATGTTTACAGTGATACTAATGTCTATATAAACAAACAGCAAATTGAATATTTTTGAAATAAGTACTGATAGAAATAAGATAGAGTGCTGTAACTTTCGTCGTTCAAAAGATGAAATGAAGATGCAACCAATCATATATGATATGTTTTCTTTTTTTTTCGACATACTTTTTTCTTTAAGGTTTTTCATTGACCTTTTTAAAAACAATTCTACTCTATGTGGTGTTTACAGTAAATTTTCAATTGGTACAAGTATATTCAAATTGTCAATGGAAGATTTGCAAAACTACTCAAATTTTAGATCTTTAGATTTGATTATTTTGAAGTGATAGGTTTTTTAATCGAAAATCTAAGTAAATATTTTTCGACATTTCGATGAAAATAAAAAGTTTTCTACTGGTTCCTTTCTAAACAAAATATTTTTCCTCACTTAGAAAATTAATTAAACTACATATTAGGAAAACATACAATAAACGATGCAATACAACGTTTTCTCCTCTTCCGGACAATAAAAATTGCAGCTCTTTATCTATCACTTATTAAAAGTCATTTGAAACCTATGTACTCCAAGTTTTTAGTAGACATTAATAAATCTGTCACATATGATTTAAAAAAAAACAAATCTTATCGACTTTTTATTATTTTGATATAACTTGAAGAATGATGTGATAGCACAGAAAAATAGAGCATCATTTGTATTTGCAGTTCCCATGGAGACAAATTTTCTTTTAGCTTTTTGCAGGAAACTAAAGTATCTTTGCCACTATTTTTGAATAGCCCTAAGTAGAATATATATTGTACATGAGATTTTCAAACTCATTAAAGCTATAGAATCTCTTTTGAAGCCATCGGTATTATATCCTAAGCAATGTTTCTTGCCGATATTATTACAAATAAAAATTTAAAAACACTGTTGTACCACTAATATAGAAAAAAAGCAAACCATATGATTAACACAGAAAGATACTACTAAAAATTTTTCTCAAAATGACATTTATATTATTCATCGAATAGTTGATGGAATTAAAATTTGTCGATTAACGATAGAATCACAAAAGTAATGATTTATATCAAATCAAAAGAAAAGTAAGGATAAAAACTTAACTAACTATGTTAAGTGGCAAACATTACTTTTTTCTTTTCTTTCATGATAATAAGAAGAAAACTATTATAGAAACTTAATTAATAATGAATATTATATTATTAATCATATCTACTATATTAATGTTAATGCTTTTAACTGAACCATTTATTGATAATAGTAGATGGATTTTTTCTCAATCAGTTCGTATAAATTTTATGCATAGAATATTTACAAATCGAATATGGTTTTTTTCTTTTTTACAAAAATCATCAAATATAAGTGCAGAATATAAAGCACTTGAAGAAATTATACGATTACATTATCCTCCATTTTATTTACCTGAAAAATCAAATAAAATACAATTAAATCAATTTCGTTTAATAGCTAAAAAAATATTTAAAACTTTATATCCACAACGTAATATACAAACATGTAAAATACAACCAATTACATTTGAATATAATGAACGAACAGTACTTTCATATTCAATACGTGATGGTAATATGTATGATTGGAGAAATCATGATCAAAAATTTCTTCTTTATATACATGGTGGTGGTTTTGTTTATGGAGATATTGAACTTTATTCAGGTTATGAATGTTATCTATCTCGTAAATATCATATGCCTGTTATACATATTGAATATAAACTTTCTCCAGAATATCCTGTATTTCATATTCTTGATGATATTATTACTGTCTACATGTCATTATTAAAATTTGATCCTAATATTCATCAACGTATGATTGGTATGGGTGATTCTTCAGGTGGTTTACTTTGGCTTCGTCTTATTCAGATAATGGTTGAACAAAAACAATCTGTTCCACTTGCACTTATTTTATTATCACCATGGATTGATATAAGTTTTATGGATATTGAACATGATGATGAAACAGAACAAAATCGTGTTTTATTTTCACTTCAATTATTATTTAATTTACGAGAACAAATATTTATGATTGATCAAGATCTAACTGGATTTGATTATTATGAAGAATATAATCAACAATTAAATAATATAAATCCAAAAGAATATTCATTTAAAGGTTTTCCTCCACTTTATGTAAGTGTAGGTACGAATGAATTATTTTTATGGGATGCAACAATATTAAAAAAGAAAATTCTTGAAAATAATGGTCAAATAATATTAGAAGAAGGTTATGGTTTAATGCATACATATCCAATGTTTCATTTATGGTCACCAGAAGCAGAATGTACACAAAATAATATACGAATATTTATTGAACAATTTTAATGAAATGTTTCTTTTGTTGTTGACTTGTATTTTTCATAATGTATGTTTCATCTTATTTTTTTAATGTTTTCTTCAAAGTAATGTGATAGAAAAAGAGAACAAATTTGTTTTGTTTTGTTTTGTTTTTATATTGAAATTTTAAATGTGAATTTTACAGAACAGAAAAATCGTTCCGACATCTATTTTACAATCATATTCAGAGCCTTATTAATACGGTAATATCGATTGATTTGAAAATAATTATGATTAACGATATATTATTAATGTGATGCAAAGCAGTTATATAAAATCATTCATTAGCAATTTCTTTTCTTTGTTTGTAAACATACGTATCAAACATTGTCATTTCATATGATGATATGCTTAAGAATAAAAAGTCAAAAAAAAATACTTATTTGAATGTGGATTAAAAATATTGTAGCTGAAACTACACTATCGATTTTACAATATTAAATTTGATATTCTATTTGTTTACAAAGTTTTGTAAAGTTCGTCTCGGTTTTCTTTTTTGGAAACTTCAAAATAATTAAAATCAAGATAGCAATAAAATTTAACTGCTACTCACCGTAAAAAAAAGTGATTTTATATATAATAGATAAAAATAGAATTGTACTGTCTCGTTATAAAAGTTAAATGATCAATTGATAGTATTCATTAAGAACTGTTAATAGAATTCTTTTTAGCAATGAATTTCATAATGACTATTTTTCAGGATCTTGTTTTTTCTTTTGAATGATCGAAACGTAACTTCTAGACAACAAAAAAAAAATCTTATTCTACTAAATTCTAAATATCTTTTGAATAAAAGCATTTTGTATTCAATCATATAAACAATTGTTTTGTGTACAAGATATTAATATATCGATAATCGATATTCGAAACTTCACAATATATTATTATAGTTGAATGAAACTCGAAGGCCATCTTGTCTGCTAACAGTATAATAGGACAAAACAAACAAAGAATAGGTACACGTATTGTAAACAGCGGTTTATTGTTAGCCTTGCTTCATTGTCGAATATTTATCTAATTACTTTTTTTAATGAATACCTCGACGACGTTTTTCTTTTTGAAGTCTCTATTAGAATCTGTCTGTAATGAGATAGATGCAACTGAAGTGATGAAGTAATTTAATAAATATCATTGTCATTAATTAGTAACATTATTACTTCTCTTATGTATCTCAATGATTTATATTTAAGTTTTCAAGAAAATAGTTGACATATATTTGTGTGCTTATACTGAAATGCAAAATATATTAAATAAGAAAAAAAAAGTAACATTCGGATTATTTAAGTCATTTTTGCTTAACAAAAAAAACAAAAAATATAAGAATATCTGATTCTTGGTACATTAACATATCTTAATATAATCGAAAGTCAAATATAATCATAAGGACAGTTACTATTTATTTGTGCTATATGATATTGAATTTATTCTATAACTGACAAAACAAAACTTTTTAATATTGAATAAGATGATCTTTGACTATATTTAAATATATGTATTTAAAACTTCTGTTTTTTCAAGAAAGACTTTCCAAAAAATTGAAATCTATACGTATTAAAATCATTCGAAAAAAAAAGTTTTAGGAAAACTTCATCATACAAACATATCTTCAGAATATGACTTTGCAATTTTTTATTTGAATATTCATTCAAATCAATTAACTGTTACTACTGAAATCAATAGAAGAAATTTTCAAATAATAGTAGCAAGCACTTTCAGTAGTTTAACAATAAGTATTACGGGTAGAATATTGAATTAAAGTAAGACAATAACATATACCTAAAAAAAAAAAGAAGATAAAGATCTTTTCTTGATTACTGGCGCCCTCGTCTATTAACTTCTTATGAAGTGGTTCTATCTTACGGCAAATAGATGTTGAGAATCTCTATATCAATGACGGATAACATTGTTCTTTTTATTTTTACTAAACATTTCGAACTATTATGTCAGGTCTATTCAATCGATTAAAAAGTCGAAAAGTATTAAAATAAATACATTATCGAATAGTATTTATATCTTTTATCTTTGTTTTTGTTTTATTCTTAGTCTGGATCTCATCATACGACTAATAATGAATATGAATCAATACCATCAGGGCCTTCGTTTGATGAAGAAGTTAGTAGTTTTTCTTGGAATAATTTCTATGTTATACTTTTTTTTCTTTTGTTTATTTTAATTCAAAAGGGTTTTCTTTGTCCAATTTGTCATCATAAATTTAATGATCATATAAGTCTTGCAGAACATTATACAAAAACTCATGAACAAGGATCTACAATAGTTGATGAAGATACGACTAAGGTGAAGAATATACCTGAACAAGAGGAAAGACATATAGAAAAAGAAATAATAAACAATATCTAATTTTATTATTTATTATAGGAGGAATCTAATGGAGATATTGCTATGTGGAAACAACAGTTTACTGCATCAGAAGAAAGTCGAATTATAAGTAAGTATATTTTAAGAACAGTTTTTACTACGAAAAGAATATAAGTTGTTTTATATATCGTAACTACTATTGTAAAAGTATCAAGTTTCAAGTTGCATTTGTTTTATAGATAAAGAAATAAAACGATATAGAACATATTTCATTGCAATTATAATGAATTCAACTAAATTTTGTAATTTATTAAATGATGATTTCATTCTGAAATAAAAATGTTCTAATTAATATTTTGTATCACTTGAATATAATTTTGATAATGAATGATACAAATAAATGACAAAGTAATTCAAGAAAAAATAAAATTATAAAATAATTGACCTTTGATTATTTTTTTATATCCATATTTAAAGTAGTTTTCATCAAGGTATGGGTTCGTTCATATTCTGTTAACAATGTTAGACGCTTGTAGATCTTGATAGATTATTCAACAAGTCTCAAAATGATCTTATATATTAGAAATTAACTTTACCTAGAAACATATGTTCAATGAATCACAAGAAATATTGTATATAAAAAGAGGGGATCCATCACTTGAACATAGAATTCTTGTTTCTGATGCTAGGCGTGGCAAAAATTTGACATTCATGAAGTTTTAAAGACTACAGTAGATTTTTTTTGTAGAAAAAATATTTTCTACATGAAATCAAGCTTTCATAAATACTAGCAAGGAAACTATTTCAACTGTAACTCACTACTTGACCTCATAGGTCTTAGTGAGACTAGAAAAATCCTAAAAGGAACTGTCTTCATCAACCTCTGGAACGGAATTATGATTGTTTTTTACTAAATTTTCGATCTGGCATTTCGCTCACACATATATCTAATGATCCTTGGAATATAATGAAAGTTTTACTCGAAAAGAAGTAGTATTAAATCCTTCAGAAGAAAGTTACTAACAGAAGTTCAAAAACATGCTCCAAGCACGAACTCTTATTATTACAGACATAGTTTACTAATATGTACACGATACACTAAGTTCTGAGTAAAAAGTGAATTGACACTTAAGAATATTCTCTTGTAAGTAATCATTATACTAAGAGATAAGAAATTTGAATTTAACCAATGAAGAAAATAACGTTTTTTTTTTTCTAGTAAGTAATGAATTAATGCAACAAAAACAGCGTGCTGATGATCTTGAAGAAGAACTTCAATTATTACAAAAACATTTAAAAGCTACACAAACAAAAGTAATTGAACAAGTAAATATCAAGAAAAAAAAAAAAGAAAAGATTTTCATTTAATATAGAATAAATGTTTTAGTCCCAAGAAATTGCAAATTTAAAAGCTACAAAAGATATCTACGATATTCAATTAGCTAATTTTACACATGAACTTCTTAATACACAAGTTAATATCAAGATCATTTTATTTAACAAAAAAAAAAAACAACTAAACATTCAATTTTTAGGCTGAACTAAAAGAAAAAGATCATCAAGTAGCTACTCTATGTGATGATCTTATTCCAAGGTAAGTTATTAACTTAAAGCAAAGACGAGCACATCTATTGATTGTTTCATTCAAAAAAATTTCATATCTTTTTTTTTCTAATTTTATATTCATATAGTTTGTAAGTATAATAGTATTCTATGACTTATATGTTATATTAAATATACTCACGTGCATGTTAGCTTTTTTGTCAAATGAACATCATCTCTTCTTTTGTTTTTTTGTATATTGTCTATCGATTAATTTATAGATCGACAAATGATGATGTTGATGTACTTAAACGTGAACTTATTACAGTTCAACAACGTATGGATGAAATATCATTAGAAAAAGAACAAGAAATTGAAAAATTACGTTTTGCTTTAGCAGAAAAGTTTGTTAAATGTTGAAATGAAATATAATATTTTTTTTTGTATACTTAGTTATCAATGTACAGAAAAATTAAATAAATTAGAAAATATATTTAATCAAGTAAATTAATTTTTAGTTTTTTCATATAAAAATCAATTTGATTTTTTGTATAGAATTTATTAATTTATGATGAAATGATCAATAAAAATACATCTCAAATTGCAATTGAAATTAATGAAATAAAACAGTTTATTAAATTAACTCGAGAACGAAAAGAGAAATTTCAAATGACTATAAAATATATGCGTAATTGTCTTACAGAGGTAAATAATAAGACAATAGCAGAATCTTGCATCAAATCCTGTTGATAAACTTGACAAAGGATTGTGCAGTTTCAAGTTTCTAACTATCGACTAGAGCCCATCGATTTGATTCGCAATATACCCGACGGATTCTAGTCCTCGAAAAACTGGGTACAATGCGCTCATCACCATATAAAAAAAGCCGGAAAAAAAGTATCTCATGCGCTCAAGGCGACTATCTGATTTCGATGAAAAAATTTCATCGAAAGTACCAAAATATATAGCTCGACCGAGTCCAACACTTTAGAATCCGACAGGCTCTATCACCAACTTCACTGACACCAGTGTTTTACTGAAACTTCGGAACATGTCGCCACAAAAAAAAAGTATATTCTGACGAAATTTGTATTTCAATGTTATAGCGAACACGAAAGTTACTGTAATTA